ATTTTTAAATGCATAATGTATGTCAAATTTGTAGATAGAAATGTTATTAAGTACATTTAAATCTTGGGTTTCTGTTGTCAAGCTCTGTGCTATTCTGCCATATGCTGCCTTAGTTGACATGGATATTTATACATAGGTGTATACGTATCTATTTGTGTGTGTATGTATAATTTGAAAAAACTAAATACATTTTTCATTGATCTTAAATCATAATGACCTGGGATTCCTGATTCATTGACTCCAGTGGAGAGGCTGTGAGGTGGAGGTGGGTCAACATTAGACTGAGGGTCCTCAGGAGGCACATGGCAGTCAATACACACCTCAGCAGATACTTGCTCAGGAGTCCAGGGACAAGACCCCATTGCCTGCTCTTCCCTCCTGGTCACAGCAGAGACCAGAAGAACGGAGATGGTAACTGAAGCCCAAGTCTCCCCTGCACATAAGAAAACATAAGCTTCCTAAAAAAAATAGTGGTTTAAACTACAGTCCCCAGACTAGCAACAGAGAATTTATTAGAAATTTATTAGAAATACACATTCTCGGACTCTGCTCCAGATCTGTGGAATCAAAAACTCTGGAGATGGGTCCCAGGATTCTGGGTTTGAATAAACTCTCCAGGTATCTCTGATGCTTGCCGAAGTCTGAGAACCACTGCCTTATACCCAGCTGTCATTTTATCTATGAAAAGGAGTGAAAGGAAGCTATGCAGAAAGATCAAACATTTACCTAAAGGAAAAAAAAAATCAAAGCTCAAAATATCCTTTAAGCAAGATCAAGTCTTCCATCAATTCCTCTGGGGTTCTAAACAGAGAGTACAGAGTGCGTAAGAAATTTGTTTGCTTGTGGGGCGCCTGGGTGGCTCAGTCTGATCTCGTGGTCTGTTGAGTTTGAGCCCTGCATTGGGCTCTGTGCTGACAGCTCAGAGCCTGGAGCCTGCTTCGGATTCTGTGTCTCCCTCTCTCTCTCTGCACCTCCCCTGCTCACATTCTGCCTCTCTCTCTCAGAAACAAATAAACGTTAAAAAAAAAAAAAAAAAGACAAAGAAAAGAAATTTGTTTGCTTGCAAAGAAATAGAGAAACCTCCAATTCTGCCTACCTAAATTATAGCAGATAAATCTTTACCTCCCCATTATAATTTCTCAGTAATAATCATTAGGAATTGGTTCAATTTTGTATTAACTTCTTAGATTGCTGTCAAAAAAATGTCAGCCTGAATTGCTTAGGATTGGTCTATTTCACTACTGAGTATTCTTTGGGAAGATTTTGATCACTCTGTAAGGAGTACTGTCTGTAGGAGCAATGAACAAATGACTAGACCAAAAGGTCCTTAAGTTCAACATGGCAGGGTAAAAATGTTCTGCTTTGGGAAATGGAGATGATGTGTTCTTCCTGTGGCATCTTAGGAGCCTTTCATAGTGCCTTGTCCAGTGTAAGCTGCTCAATATTGACTTTGTGAATGAGTGAATGGAGAATCCATAAGGGCTCTCCATCTTGAGAACATCTTATGGAAGAGGTGACGTGAGGTGAATCTTGAATAGGCAGAAAAGGGTGGATAAAGTGGGAGGGCATTTTAGGTTGGAGGAGAAAAGGATACAAAATAGGCTGAGCAAAAGCCTGGGGTCAGGCCTAAATGTGGAGTGTCTGGGACTGAGTGGAAGTCACTGGAGAGAAAAAGCTGTTCACAGGGCGATATGACAACCAACATCATTACACAGTACAAATGAGTTTTGTGAGTTGAGGAGTCCTCATCCTCTGATATGATCCCTACCGTGCTCTGGGCAAACAACAGAGAACAAGATAGACATGACACCTAAATGTGGTGAAGGATGGAGAACAATGGCAGCAGCATGGTATGCGTGTTGATAAGTGAGGCACAGGGGCACGGAAGCAGTTCACCTAACCTGAACTTGAGGTAGGTGGATGGACAGAGAAAGCCTTTCCAGATGAAAAAATATCTAAGTTATGGCCTGAAAAATGAGTGGGAGGGAAGAAGGAGTGTGGAGTAGCAAGGGATAGGGCTGGCTGGGCAAACCGGGGCCAGATTACGAACGGCCTTCTAAACCATGTTGAAGAGACAGAGCTTTATCCAGAGGGATGTGAAGAGCCCTCAGCAGGTTCTAAATAGAAAAGGACAAATTTGTTTTGGAAACCTCGTGGGCTATAGTAGAGAGGATAGCTGAAAGACACAGGACTAATGATGGTGACTTTAATTAGACAAGTAGCAATGGGAAAGAAGTTTAAAGAGCTTGCTGGAAAAAAAGTCTCCGGTAGTTTAAAACATGTGTTCCCTCGACATTGCCACCACTGAAAGCTGGAATAAATGTGCCCTCGCCTTGAATGTGGATGAGCTTGTGATTTGAGTGGAAGTGCTGCCACAGGACTTCTGAAACCAGGTGGTAAAAGGTGACAACAGCTTCCGCCTGGTCCTCTTGGCACACTCCCTAGTACTCGGCCACTATGCTGTCAGGGAGCCTCAGCTGAGGACCTAGCGTCAACTGCCACAAATATTAAGTGAAGAAACCTTTGAGGTGACTCTAATCCCAGCCACCAACAACTGATAATCACCTGAGACCCAGAGTAAGAGCAGCCTGCCTGAGCCAGTCAATTCTAATGATAATGAGAAAATGATTGGTGTTTCAAGCCACTAAGTTCTAGTGGCTTAGAGACACAGCAAGACATAACCAGAACACTATCCTGATAACACCTAGTGAAGGAGGGATCTTTTCCTCTCCTCACACTGTGCTGTATCCACCAGGATGACATCTGGACTCTGAAGCAAGAGACATTTATAATAAATGAAACAATCTACAAAGGCACATAACAGGGTTGGGGAATAAGATGTTCTGTCCAAATATTCTCATTAACAGAGTAAGTGCATGCTTTAGGCAAATTATCGATTGCAAGAAAACATCATTTTTCAAGGAAATTATGAAACTTTAAAGAATGAAATGCTCATGATCCACTAAGCAAACTTTCTCCTTGATGGGGTTTTAGCCTTCAGAATCATCTATTATTTTGGGGTAAACATAAGGCTCATTAGTTCATGCTGTACTGCTGCCTCTCAGCATCACTTCTGGGAACAGATCGAATTGCCCAGTTTCTGCAGTCAGCAGAGCCACCATAGCCACCATAGCCACCAGCTGTTCAGAGCAACAGAGCTTAGGAAGGTCATGGTTGCTATTTACTGCCTTTTTTTTTTTTTTTGGTAATGAATGGTTGTTAGCTGTTCACACAGGGCATAAAAGGCATTTTAATGCTCTTTGTGAAAGTCAGACAAGATAAAAGGTAAGTTGGGGGACAGGAAGCATGCCCTATTATTCCCTAAGACTTTGAAGGTAGAGAAATCCAAACAGGAGGCATAAAAAATACAATTAAGATTCTATGAAGGCCCAGAGTTTTCTTTAAAAGGGGTAAGGCCTCACCAAGCATAAGCAAAAGAAATTCTTTCGGGTTTTCTTTACAGAAGGAAGAACACATTTGTTTATATAATTCTTCAACTAGGTACCCACATTCTGAGTGCTACTGACAGAAATGACGATACTTAACGTTCATTCAGCACTTGCTCGGTGCCAGCCACTGTTCGGCTTGCTTTACATTGATCACCTGATTCCACTCTCACATCAGGCCTAGGAGGTGGGTATGATTAGCTCATTTAACAAACAAGGAAACTGCAGTGAGCCCATGGCCACACAGTGAGTCGCCACACTGTGAGTCGTGGGAGCCCTCCTTTAGTATTCGAACTCTGAAGAGACATGTGCTCTAGTGGGAAGGGTATCAGACCAGGGATCGGGAGTTTCATCTCAGCTCACCTGCAACTAATTATACCAATTTGGACAAGTCATTTCTTTCACCTGAAAGACGAGGGAGTTAAATTAGGAGATTCAGAAGATTCCTCCTACTCTAAAATTGCTGATTCTATGCACACTTCTTGCCTCTGAATAACAATCAGCTAAAAGCAAACCTTACTTTTTAAAAAAATTTTTAATGTTTATTTATTTTTAGAGAGAGAGAGAGAGCGAGCATGCACATGCACACGAGCAGGGGAGGGGCAGAGAGAGAAGGAGACACAGAATCTGAAGCAGGCTCCAGGCTCTGAGTTGTCAGCAGAGCCTGATGCAGGGCTCCAACTCACCAACTGTGAGATCATAACCTGAGCTAAAGGCGGACACTTAACCCACTGAGCCACCCAGGCATCCCCAAACCTCACTTTTTGAAGCAGCACTGAAGAAAGAGTGTACAGAACTCTAGGAAGATGGGTGAAAGGTGTGAACATCACGTGGGCCTTGAGAAACAAAAGGCACAACTCACCGGTGCTGTGTTTCAAACTATTGTGTGACTGATCAGAATGAGGAAACTTTAACCTGCTGTCAGGACACATTTACTTTTACAAAAAAAATAAAGCATTCCAAGAGAAAAGAGAAGATCATCAATAAGATGAAATGTAGGACCAAATACTTAAAATTTAACAAAAAATACAGAGAGCATATGTGTCTTTACTGGCATTTATTTTGAAAAGCAATTGGCCTGCCTATGACCACAGTAGTAACCATTTAAATTTTGGTTAACCTATCACTTCTGAGAGCTAAGTCCTGGGTTAGTTTGTGCTGCTGAGAAAACAAAACATAAGTTCAAGATATCTTCTCAGGAATCTTTTATTTCTCTCATTTTTGAGAAAATGTGACCCTAATGAAACTTAAATGAAAATTTCAAGTCAATATGCAGATTCACAAGCATCTTATTTAGGGTCACAGACAGATGATGACAGAAACAGTGAGAACATCCTGAGCCATTGCCCACAGTAGCAAAATAGGGTTTCAGACCTCCTGATTTCAGCAAGAGTATAGTCTGCAAGTAACTACTCCCCCCAAAATTTATTGGAGTTGACCACTTATGGCAATTTCCTTCCCACTAGTGCTTACTTGGTTCTACGCTGGTACCGGCAGTTGGACTGGAGACCACAGTCATGTTCCTTCAAGGATCCTTAGAACTTTATACAGAAGAAGTGTCCTTTCTGAGGGAGTGGAGCTTTCTGCTGGACTCGATTTAGATCTTCATGGTGGCACAACATTAACTTCTCAGATCAGCATGACAGTTCGAAATCAACGCAGAAATTTAAGGAGACCAAGTGTTTGTTAACATGGCATCCAATGGAGTACAATGCCTGATTTCTTAGGAAGCCATTAACTCACTGGGAGGCCCCTTCCAGCTCAGACCCATGAGTGACTTGAACATAGGGTTATTCAGCCCACAGAGACTGGTTGAGAGGCTGGAAGGTCCGATGGCTGACTGTCCTCTTACTTAATAGTACCATGTGGGATTTTCTGTCCCCAGGGGTGTGGCAGAGCAGAGTATCCAAAGTGCAAGTGGTGACCTGGCCATTAATGTGGAGTTTCCCATAGATCTCATCAAATTTGGCCAGAAGGGCGGGTACATCCTTCACTTTTTTCCTTGCTTTGGCCAGCTGGAAAAAGCCAAAGAGCAGATCATTATCTCTATGCAAGATTTCTTCCTTGTTCTTCTGATTCTCCAAGAAGCAGAGGTCCAAATGCACTAAAATGTATAGTGTATACCTATAATGGTGAAAACCAGGGTACCGGGCCACACAGAAGTATGAATGACTACATGGGATTCTATAAGCTATACAAAACATTCACAATTAGTACTTGAAAATCATTCCTGGTATCGAATAAAGCAATCCCAATAAAAATTACACCAGCATTCTTCTTGAAGCTAGAACAAGCAATCCTAAAATTTGTATGGAACCACAAAAGGCCCCGAATAGCCAAAGTAATTTTGAAGAAGACCAAAGTGGGAGGCATCACAATCCCAGACTTTAGCCTCTACTACAAAGCTGTAATCATCAAGACAGCATGGTATTGGCACAAAA